CAGGGGGCGCGGGGACGGCCCCGGCGGGGCGGATGGGGTTGGGAAGGAGGAGTGGCGCCCATGGCGCCCAGCCCTCGGCTTGTGGGGGGGAAAAACCTATGAAGAGGCCAGAGCTGGGGTTCGGAGGGAGCAACTCTGCGTATAATCTTGAGAAAGGGCCGCAGCCAACCCACAGGGCCCGACCCAGTGGTCTGTATCAGGCCCATCCCCTCATGGCGGCTGCCGGGGCTTGCCGTGTGCCGCGCTGGAGCTGCTCGCCTGGCGTGGGGGGCACCTGCCCCAGGGCGTCCGCCGGGCCCCTGCTCGGCCGCTTTTTGGTCCAGCATCCAGGGATCGCCCTGCTTTCAAAAGCTTGTGAGAGACAGAGAGAGAGGCATTAGTCTGAGCAGCCTCGTCCTGGCGGAAGGGCCCTGCTGAGCAGCAGTGCCAGCCCGAGCGAATGGGCCCCAGAGAGCCAAGAGGCACTGCCGGCCGAGCAGCTGCTGCCGCCCCCGCGCTGGACGGGCTCCCGGAGCAGAGCCTGGGCCACCCAAACCTTCCATGCAAACCCAGGGTCTGCACCAGCATCCGCATGGCATCGGCCCACATGGCTCTGCCGAGAGTGCGGAACAAGGCCAAGCCCCCATGCCTTGGCTTGGGGCCAGCACTTAGACATGAAAATGGAGATGAGTGGCCCAGAGTGAAGGGACGGGGATGCACCAGGTCCTTCCCACAGTGGTGACTGGGACTGTGGCAGGGCAGAGCTCAGTATGTGCTGGGGCAACAGCAGTGCCACAGGAGCCCCAGGGATGGCATGGTGGAGGGGTCCTCAGTGTGAGGATTCATCCTTAAGGGCAGCCAACTTCTCCAGCCCTCTACATGGGTGCTCACCGTTATACTCAGAGTCTGGCGCTGCGTGCTGAATTCATTGGCTTCTTCATAGGTTTTTCCACTGCAACGACTCAATCTCCACTCGCTTCCCAAACTCCTGCAGCAGGAGGGAGCAGGAGGGTGTCAGGCACAGCCAGGGCAGGGAAAGCCCACGGCGCAGTGCCCAGTGCCATCTGCACTCACCTTGTGCCGTTCTCTCACCAGAATGAAGTGAACTTCTTGCCGAAAGCTGACACCGCTGTGGGGAAGCCAGGAGAGGTGTCAGTGTGGCTCCCCTAATCCCCCCCTCCCCGGGCCCCAAACTGTGGGAGCACTGCACCCCAACCATCCCCAGAGCGCCTGACCCCATTTGGCACAGAAGAGCATCACCGCCCCATCCCCATCCCAGGAGCAGCCTCACCTTTCAGTCAGTTTGCCTGCTTGTTATGCTGCCCCCCCTGCGGATTTTGGAGAAGGACACTCTCGCCTTCCCCCAGGCTGCCCCGATGGCCATGCGGCGGGACCACGCGGCCCGGCCGCCCTTGGACGGGCCTTGCTGGCTGCTGGGGGGACAAACAAAACCACCATTACAGGAAGGCTAGCGGGGTGCCAGGGCAAGCTGGATGAGAGGGGACAGAGGGCACATGCTGCCACTTGGGGCCCACTGACCTGCTGCTCCCCAGGGCCTGCGCCGCTGGAGCTCTCCCTGGCTGCTGTGGCACTTTCCGCTGCGCGGTTTGATGTGTCTCGTCGGCTCTGCTTTTTTGTCGGGAATGGGGAAAAGCAGCTCTCAGGGCTCACTCTCCCAGGGCAGAGGCATCCTCTAGGGGTGCACAGGCCAGGAGAAATGCCAACGCTGTTCCAGGGCCCAAAAGGCAGGCAGCAAGGGATCCAAGGTATAGGGGATGCTCCTTGAGGGATGGCTGCTGGGCACCCAGGGATGGTCTGTGGTGGGATCATGGGTGGCATCACCTCTCTTCCCATGGCTCTGTTCTTCCAGCCTTCGCCACCCCTGGCACAGCAGCCGCGTCTGATCCCAGCAGAACTTGTGGGGTCCAGCCGGCAAGACCGCTTACTTACCATCCGTGCTGGGTGTCCGCCCGGCTGTGCGTGGAGTGCGGCCGGTGCCTTCCCTGCTGCCTGGGCTGGCCCCGGCTGCTGCTGTGGTGGCCGGGCCGAGGCAGGTCCCTGTGTCCTGCCCCTGGCCTCG